GGAAAAAAGCATAAGGGAAATTTATGGGAAATTTGGTAGAGGAAAGTGTTGCTAAATGCTGGATTGCGTTGAAATTAGTTAATCATTACTTTTAAAGCTATTATAATGACTATAAAAGTTAAATATTATCATGGCAAAAATCTACTACCAAACTAAAAAAAAGTAAAAAAAAAAGTGTTCTAAAGCTGGATTGCGTTGATTGTTGAACAATTGTAAAATTTACTGAAAATTATAGAACTATATACCTACAATGGATGAATTGTACATACATTTTATTTCAAGAAAGCTATTAAAGAACACACCAATTACTTTTTGTCTTAAGGGAAGTGATTGGCAAATTTATTTTATATTTTTTCAAAGCAAAATTCTTGTAACTAAAAACATGCATTCAGGCTTCCTAATTTGAGATACAGCCATAGTCACATTTTGTCTCTGACTTAAGTCATTTCACTTCGTCTCTATGATTTTCAGTTTTTTCATGTGGTTAGAGAAGGCTGAACTACATCATTTCTAAAGTCTCTTCTGGGATGGGTGCAGTGGCTCATGCCTATGATCCCAGCTACTTGGGAGGCTGAGGCACAAGAATCACTTGAACCTGGGAAGCGGAGGTTTCAGTGAGCTAAGATCGTGCCACGGCACACCAGCCTGGGCAACAGAGTGAGACTGTCTCGAAATAACCAAATAAATAAATGGTCTCTTCCGTCTCTGATTTTGTAGAATTCTTCAAATTGGTTTAGTTTATTTCTTGACCTGTCAGACTCAGGCTGCCAGAACATTTCCTATAGCTTGCCTTTGTTGTCAGGTCAGAGTTTGGAAGAGATCACCTTATACTTTCCTGCTTGATCAAGAACATCAGAGAATGTCTTCATTTGATTATCACTGTCCTGAGGAGTTGGGCGCAGCTGGCTAAAAATTGAGCAATATTCGGCCAATTTATTTTAAGTGGCTCTGCTCATTTTTTAACTGAATTTTACATGAGAGATAATTTTACTGGGTAAATTTAGCTTATCACACATAAATGGCAGCATTAAACTAAAACAGAATGGATTTTTGCCTACCAAGATGTGTTGGTCTAATTTATGGACTACAGTGTAATATCAGAAGTCCAGCAATTATTTTGTTGTCATGGATTAAAAAGTATAGATCTGTTTTTCTTTTGCTGATCCCGATGCGTTTTGACATAGACATGGTGCCCTTTTTAAGTATTGAAGGGGTAACGTGAAGACACGTTCGACTTTTACTTTGGGGTAATGGATTGCCATGTGTGCTGAATGTACGTGTGCCCTCAAAATTCATGTTGAGATCTTAACCCCCGAGGTGATGATATTAGGAGATGATGCCTTTGGGGGTGATTAGGTTGTAAGGGTTCACTCCTATAAGTGACCCTTGAGAGGTTTTTTTACCCTTTCTGCCACATGAGGACACAAGAAGGAGACGGCCATCCATGAACCCAGAAGATGACCATGGCTGGACACTGGACCTACTGGCACCTTAATCTTAGCTTTCCATGCTCCAAAACTGTGAAAAATAGATGTTTGTTGTTGAAGGCACTCAGTCTACGGTAGTTGGGTACAGCAGCCTGAGCAGATTAAGGCATAGATTAATGTTCAAGCTTTAGTATGGGCGCAGATATGCTGGGGACCTTGTTATAACAGAAACGCTCTTACTATTGTTTTGGGTGTTCCCTGAGGGTCTGCATTTCTAACAAGCAGAATTTGCCATTGCTGGTTGTTGGGCCACACACTGAGTAGAAAGATGTTAGGATGAAAACAAGCACTGTAAAAGGGGCCAGGTGTGGTGACTCATGCCTGTAATCCCAGCACTTTCGGAGGCCAAGGCAGGTGGATCACCTGAGGTCAGGAGTTCGAAACCAGCCTGGCCAACATGGTGAAACCTCATCTCTACTAAAAATACAAAAATTAGCCAGGTGTGGTGGCACGCCCCTCTAATCCCAGCTACTTGGGAGGCTGAGGTGGGAGAATTGCTTGAACCCAGGAGGTGGAGGCTGCAGTGAGCCGAGATCATGCCACTGCACTCCAGCCTGGGTGACAGAGTGAGACCCCATCTAATGAAATGAAACGAAATAATGAAATGAAATGAGATGAAATGAAATGAAATAAAATAAAATAAACTGTGAAAGGGAAGAAGTTACAGGGAACAGCCTCAAGATAATGACAGTGAAAACCATCTACAAAAGGAATAATAGACCTCCAGGGGCTGTAATCCCTAATGGTGGTCACAAGAGGCCGTAGGAACTGCAGCAGAAGGAACTAGTGGTTGAGGGTCTTGCTAGACCAGAAGACCTCAAACGTCTTCTCTCACTTTTCACATTTTTTGGAGCATCTCTTCTGACTTTGATGTGTATGTATAACTACACATTCCTGGTAACTTTAATTTGCCCACTGATTACAAGCATTTTTGGATTTTTGGGGTCATGCTTTACTTGTGCTGGGGCCGCTGCATTATAAGCACAAGCGTATCAATTGCATGTCCTGCTCCTTCTCTTTCTTTTCCTGGAGGAGTAAACACTGGTCCTTCCTGTCCTCTGGCTCCTGGTAAGCAAGCACACAATGGAAGAGCCTAGTTCTCTCTGTGACTCGTAGACCTGGGTTAGGAAGGGCGGCCCCCATCATCTTTCTCAGCAGATTCTTGTTAATGAGAGTGATAACTTAGGTCTATTTGTCCAGTGTTTATCCACAAGCTCAATCTCATGTTTTCCCTGAATATGAAATTTTTGATGGTTAAATAGATGAATAAAGATGACATTTTGCTCTTACTTGACTACTGATCTTTACACATGTACTTCATTGATCAGACACTTTAAGGGAATAAAAAAGGGGGACCGTTGGACATCTACCTGCAAAAAGTGGTCATTTTCTCTCTGAAGGATTCTCTTGAAAGGGGATCAGTCAGCTTCTCCCAGAGCCACGGTGGGGAGTCTGCAGTTGCTGAGTATGTTTATTTTAATGATGCCTTTTGCAACAGGGGAAGTAACCACAGGATGGGCTCAGGGATCCAATGGTCTCATGATGAGATGCACCTGAGCTAAAACTCCATTGATCACCTCACTCTAGGAACCCAAGCTCAAACTCCATCGATCACCCCACTCACAGTGGATTTTAAGCCTCCGCCTTGACTGGTGGGGCCAGAGTGACATTTTTGGTCTCCTGGAAACAGTATCAGTTCAAAGCCTATGTCCGAGAATCCCCAAAAGGTATGAGTATTTCCTTTTTCCCAAGGCACAGTCATCCTGGCAACAGACCATAGGAAGGGCTCATTCTCACTAGGCTGAGAAAATGTATCCTATTTAGTAGATTGAAATAATTTTCCCTAGACTATCTAGTTAGGCTGGTCCTCCCAGCCCCCTGAGTCGTAACACAACTACTAAGAGTGGCCCTCTTCCCAGCCTGGAATAGCTCCCTGGGAATTTTCAGTTCCAGAAAATTCTGAAAAGGCCTAAGAGAGGCCTTTCTGAGCCCTAAAGTGGGACCTGCTTCCATACCAACAGCTGCTAATTCTATGTTTAGTCACCCCCACAGGAATTTAGGATACAGTACGAGTCATGATCATTATTTATTTGACAAATATATGTTGGATCCTAAGAGTAGCAGATACTAAGGTGGATGCCAGGAATGCAACAATGAACAAGACAGACATGGTCCCTGACTTTAAGGAATGTGTAGTTTTGTGAACTAGATCACTTCAACCACATGTGAGAAGTGCTTGGGAGAGGCTGCTGGCTGAGACTTGAAGGCATCAGAGAAAAAATTCTGGGAAAGGTGCATCTACCCTGACACCTGGAGGAACATCTGAACTAAGAGATGAGGAGCAACAGGAACCAGACTAAGAGACTGTCATGAGCCAAGGTTCTGAAGAGGAAGGAGTTCAGAGGAGGAATGACATCACTGGAATGTAGGTTTTAATGGGTGAAATGTGACAGACTCTCTCCTTCACCAAACTTTAGTCGGGCTACTCTTAGTCCCCCGCTCAGCTAGGTGTCAACCTTGGCCCCCATCCTTGCTGGAACTCTATAGCCCAGCTGCAGCAAGAATCCTGCTAAGTCAGTTTAGTGGGAAACCTCCACCCTTGATATTTGATCACATTCCTCACTCCCCACTCAATATGTCATCACCCTAGGCTATCTTCAGCAAGAATCCTGTTTTTAGTTTAGCAGGAATCCTCCTACCCTTGATATCTCCTCTTAGTAATTTTCCATCCACTAACCATCCTGCTCCTTGGCTACAAACCCTAATGCTTTCTGGTTGTATTCTGAATTGTGCTCAGTTCTCGACTGAAGTCTCTTTTCCCCTATTAAGATGGTTTCTTAATAAAATTTATCTTTACCCCCTTAATGAGTATCTGGCTCTGATTGTCTTCAACAAAGGGAAGAGATTGAGGCTGGAGAGGGAAATATTAGCCTGGCTAGGAAGTGATTTTAATTTTTAGAGGGCCATTATATGGCTTAAGAATTCTAGTATTATGGTATATTTACAGGTTATAAAAATCAGTCTCATTAAATAATAGAATGAGGGGTAGGTGAATTCAGGAGAATAGTCAGATATCCAAATTAAATCCATACCAATAAAATTATTTTATTGTTACATAGAAAGAGGATGGTCAGGCCCCTTTAAGAGTCATTGCTTTTTTATACAACTCTAAGCCCAAACAAAAATGAAATGAGACTAAACAGCAAGGTTCAATGACATGGAGGCCTCTTTAGAGGAAGTGATGACTAAGTAACAATCTGAAATCAGGAAGATAAAGTTGTAGTGAGGTACATGACAGGTTGGGTAAGCGCTGAGCACAGGAAACTGCATGAAGTGAGATAAAGTGTGGTGTGTTCTAGGTACACCACAGAGAAAAACGCCCCCCCAAATTCAGTGTGATAAAAATATTCATAATTCCTTCTCACCATTTATGATTCTACACATATGGAACCAACACGATTTCTTCATTGCCCTCCTAAATGCCAGTTCACACTACATAACATTATGACATACCTGTAGGTACTTTAGTCATGCCCTGTGATCCATGATGTGAGGTCCCCAATCTTCCCATCACCTCTTCTGGAACACTCCCCCCCTCTTTCTTCTGCAATGCTGTTGAAGAGAAACAATATCATCAACTGCAATACAAAGCAGTCCCTTCCACACACATCTGAATGCCATAGTGGACTCCTCGTCCCATGCTTGGAATATGTAGTTTAGGGCAGAACTAAAATCTTAAACTAGATTCCTGAACATCTATGACGCTCCCACTGGGCTGAAAGCAAGAAATAACAATGTACACCTTCAAAAAATTTTTTTTTTTTTTAACTAGAATGAGAGCTTAGCTACAAAGAGCTTAGTTTCTGATCCCTCTAGTATTCAACCCTATGTATTATTTGGACTTAGGACTTGATAGTAGAGAATAAAAATTGATTCCCCTCCCTGACTTTCAGAGAAACATATTTCCCCAAACAGCCAGCATGCTCTGCAAGCTAGCAGGCTTTTTAAGGTCTGTAATTTTTTTTCCCTATTTTTAGTCACATCTCAATCTCTCCCATTTTAGAGGAAAACCAGATATATCAAGGTAAGAATAAAGCAATTTGGAACCATCAGTGCTGGGTATATGTTTAAAGATCCTTGTTCCAAATAATTTAACAACTTCCTGGATACAAAAATAAATTAGATTTGCAAAGTCTAATGGTGGGATTGCTCAGAGGATTAATAAGAAGCTAGAAGTTCTCCTATTGAGGAAATAGAATTAGCTTTTTATATTTCCTTTTATACTGCAGTTCTTATTTTAACGTATATTGCGTTGTATAATGCATCATTTTTATTGTTTTAAATGTCCTCTTATTTGTATCATTTCTCAGTTTTCAAAGCATTTTCAGCCTCTTACTGCATTTTTATCTTTATGATAATTATGTGAGTTTGATTAGGCAGGTTTTTAAAATTCAAATTTAAAAATAAAAAAATCAAGGACAACTTTAAACTATTTATGAATATCACTTCAATACTCTGATTTTATAAACCACATTCCAGAGCTTTTCTTTGGTGGACAAGTAGGAAATGAATTTGAAATGATATTAAGCCCAAGAAAGATGCTTGAAGAAATGAAAACATTTAAAAAGTCACATCATTATTACTTATGAAATAAATCTACTTTTAGTCTAATAGAATGCCTCTCTCAACCAAGTTTTCTTAGAATGTTTGAAAATATTATTATATTAAAATGTCCTCTAGGGAATCCTGGGGAACTACAGGGATTCAGGAATCCTACTCTACACTATGTTTATTATCTCTATGAAGTTTGTAAGAAGATGTGCACACAGAAAACAAAAACATATAGGGGCACAAATGTTCTACTTTATTAAAATTCTGGCAGTTTGGTCCAAAGTTTATGACCTGGGTTCAAGGCCTCCTGGGGTCTTCACCTCACTTACTGGGGCTTGAGTCTCATGATTTTACCATTTTCCAGTCAATATCATGGAGGGATAGAAAATAGAACAGTGACAGAATAGGTACAGAGGAGAGACAGAGACTGTGGCACAAGTATATCTCTCCTCCTTTAGATGCAGAGAAGGAAGAAGCAGAAAAAAGATAGAGGTTGACCACTCACAGGTCCTCTACTTGCCACTTCTAAACTATAGACAAGAGAGAAGAGAGAGATTGCTGGCCTTCAGAATCAGGAAGGAAACCACAGGGGATCTCACTGCTCCCTTCTCATGGACGGCAGGGGAAGTTGAGTAACCCACACCAAGGGAGGAGATCTTTAGACCCTGCTCACTACTGAAGACTTGGCTCAATCAACATCCTGGAAGCTGACCAATCTGTTTCTCCTTGGAGGGAGAAACAAGAAAGGGTGAGCTGAGCTCCCTGGCAGAGTTAGAGTCCTAGAGTTCTGATGAGGAATGTTGGATAGAAAGAAATCAAGTTGCAGGAATTTTTTCTTGCCTGTTTCATATGCTTGGCACCAAAAAGTCAGTTAATAATATCAGCAATTCTATTTCAAACACAGCCATATTGCAATCTCCGAAAACTAGTAACAGCTGGAAAGAAATATTTGTTTGGCTGCCTCTCTGTTATTAAAGATCTTGTGGTCAGTATTTTGACACTGGGAAGCAATAATGATCTAGTTCTAAAATATATGTGGCAAAGCTTACTTTAGAATGCATAGTGAATTGAACATGAAAAGAAATGGCCCTCTTATTGTGAGTACAGAATTACTGGCATTACAAAGGATGGAGAGGTCTCTATTCCATCTCCTTCTGTGAGAGAAAAGAGAGTTTAAGAAAACTAAAGCTGACACTTTTTTTCTTAAATTAATTTTCCTTTAAAGCCAAGACGACCACTTCTAATTGCATTGTGTTTCCTTTTGCTACAAAGGTAATCTTCTTTTAATCCGATGTTTTTCACTTATAACTTCAATACAAATAGTATTATTCAACCCTGCATTCCAAGATGTGAACTAGCAAGCATTTGATACAGGAAATTTATTTTTCTTAAAAAAAAACCCAGAATGCATTTTTTTAGTGACTTTGGGCTTTAAGCTATAATTCACTGCTATTTTTATACTAAGTTGTGAGTCTTAGATTATAATGGGCCTCTTCCCTGAAAATACACCAAGTTCTCACAAAGTTGTGCCTCTCACTTTATTTTGTTCCTCTTTTTTAGCATCCCATGTGAGGCCATGTGGTACCCTGGATAGGAACAGGGGCTTTTGTTTCACCCAGGTCTAGAGTTAGAATCCTGGTTAAAAACATTTTTGTGACTGCAGACAAATCACTAACATGTCCAACACCTTCTTTTTTTCATTTGTATGAAGAGATCAGGAATAAGCACACGAGATATTGTGGAGATCAAATAACTTTTAAAATATAAACTATAGAATGGTTGTTGCCTCCACAATTCCCATTTGCCTTGGTACACTTGGATTTCTTACCTGGTTTCTTGCTCCTAGTTTTCCCAACCAGGATCACTTAATGGTGGCATAGGGTTTCTTCCAGAACCAAGTGTGTTAGAGGGCTGCCCTGTTGTATTCATTAATTACCGTTACTTTTAGTTTTTCTATAATTAGGTGGACCAAGGGTCGGTGAACAATGTCCCATGAGCCAAATCTGGTCCACTATTTGTTTTTATACAACCTGCAAGCTAATAGTAGTTTTTACATTTCTAAATGGTTGATAGAAATAATAGTTTGTGACACATGAAAAATACATGATATTCAAATTTGTGTTCATAAGAAAAGTTTATTGTGACCTGGGTTCAAGTCATGCTCATTTATTTACATATTATCTACAGATGCTTTTGCACAGTAACTACAGAGTTCAGCAGCTGTGTCAGGGACCGTAAGACAAGCAAATGCTAAAATATGTACCGTTTGGTCATATATAAAGAAAGTGTGCCAATTTCTGATACAGAAGAAAGAAGCACACTTATTAAATAAACCCCACTGCCAGTTTGATCTTTGCTACTTGATTGTCATGTGATCTCGTAAGAGTCACCTTTCTGAAATGATGTTCCTTATAGTAAAATTATAGTCTCCAAAGCGTCTAGAGAAAAACAAACGGCATATTGTCTATGAAAGCTCTTTGTAAGCTGTAAAAACAGTACAATTGTCATTTTCTTTCCTTTGGAGAAAGGGTCTTGATCTGTTGCCCAGGCTGGAGTGCAGTGGGGTGATCATGGTTCACTGCAACCTCCACCTCCTGGACTCAAGCGATCCTCCCACCTCACCACACTGAGTAGCTGGGACTACAGGACTACACACCACTATGCCCAGCTAATTTTTGTATTTTTATAGAGATGGGGTTTCACCATGTTGCCCAGGCTTGTCTCGAACTCCTGAACTCAAGCAATCTGCTTGCCTCAGCCTCCCAAAGTGATGAGATTACAAGTGTGAGCCACCGCACCCAGCCTGATTGTGATTTTCAAACCTTGTTTTTATCTTTGAAATCTTTTATTCATCTAAATCTGAAGTGAAACCTCCATATGTAGATCAGCTATAAATAGGACAGGTGTTTAAAATAGGCAGCTTAAACACTAAACACTCATCCACTTCAGCTGGGTCCTTTGCTGAACTCCTACAGCTTGAAGAAAATGAGTTTGAAACCACTAGGGGATAAGTAAAGCAAGGGCTCCTAACCTTTTCCATTATTAAAGTTTCTCTTCTCATCTAAAAATTACTTAGTTCAACCTATGTGTCCTGGAATTCACCATCTAGTGACTACAAAAGAGGACACAAAAAATGCCCAAATAGGAGAATTTCTGGTTGTTGTCAAGGTAACCAACAAATATGGGTTTCTGGCTATTTCCTTGACATTCAACCTTGTGATAACACAGAAAATGGCTATGAGGCCTATGGATTTAAGAAATGAGCAAGAAATGATGGGGGTATCCCGGGGAAGACAGAGCACAGATGGGTACTGCGTCAGGAGAGAGAATACCATGGGGAGACACAGTGGGATGATTCAGATGGGGGACAGACCCCGTTTCCATTCTAGATATGCTCCCTTTCTTCCTCAAGATTGCCCATGGCTGAAAATGTGCCACACCTGGTGCCGCACCTGGAAAGGCTGGTGAAGGATGACAGGGAAATAGCAGGGATCCTAAGGCCTAAGTGGGTAAGGTGTGCCTACGATCATGTGCAGGTAAACCAGCTGGCCTTCTCTACTCACTCCTCTGCACCTCATAAATCATCTTGAATGAAGAGCATGACCCTGCTAAAAAGTGCAGGATACAGTCCTGAGAGGAACAGTTATCTGGGGAGAATTTAGTTAAAAGAAAGTTTCTGCTTTTCCCCCTGTTCAAACATTCATCAGAGGACTATGAGTTTACAAGGGAAGTATCTTGTGATGTGAGGAATACAACTTCAACAAAATAAAGACAAGAGAGTAGAGAATCTAGAGTAAGTGGGCCAAAGGTTATGAACCCAACAAAGCAGGTATTGAAAACATTTTCCAAGGAATTTTTTATAAAAGTATTTGTAACATGAAGCAGAGACAAGCAATTATAAAGAACAATGGACATCCTTGCTAGGACAAATACAAATGTCTGCAAAGAACAAGTTATTGATCTGAAAGACCAGGCTAAGGATCTGTACTACAGAGCATACC